AAAGTCACTTGAATCCCTAGATTAAAAATATGAAAAGATTTGGAAAATATCTGTCTACATCCAGTTGATGGTGCACATGCTTTGCAAGTCCTGTAATCGACAGAAATCTGCACGGCAGTCGCCATGTTGTTTACGAACCGAATGTCGATTTCGTTACGCGATTCTGATAAGAATGCATAGACTCGTTAGTCCAGCCAAAATATAACTCAGAAATTCCAGTCTATAGTTCGGCAAGGGTGGAAACTTGACTTATATGGTCCGTAAACTCCCTTGCCTCGGGAAGTTGGAGGGAGGGGGGTATTGCAGACACCCCAGCTATAGTCTTCGCCAAATAGACTTATTGGGACAAGGAATATCACTTACAGTAACAACAGAAATTGCAAAGCGCTACATCTGCACGTTTTATTTTTCAAGTTCGTGCTGGTAATATACGTACACCGCTTCCTACTGAATAAACCAAGTCAACGAGCCTGACCACCCGATCCCGTTAGTCGCCTCTTACGACAAGTATAGTCGCCTTTTACGACAAGCATGGGTTGCTGAAGACCTGTTCTACCCCGGATCTTCACAGGTCTTCTGAAATGAAATGTTGCCCTTCATTATTTCAGTTCCTCCTATATGCGACCGATATATCCAACGTGTTGTTCCCTAAATATCCATATATTGTTGGTGAAGGTTGTTAGGGTACATGCATGTAGAAGATGTCATGATGGGGTAGTTACTCGATGTTTCCTGGCTAACACTATGATGTACACCCGGCAGCGTACAAAGCTGCGCATGGTAGAAACTACCTGTCAGCCAGACCGCAAATCGAGTTTTTCAGGCCATCCTGAGCATTCACTCACCCATTCGCCATAAATAGGAAATTAGCATGCAATGTTTTCTATTGAACAACATACGTTTCCAGGTACCCGCTCTGTATATTTGTAAATTACACTGACATAGGAGCAACGACGACGTCGTATTGTATTTTGAAGTGTGTACAGCGACTGTGTCGACAACGGAAGAATCCAGCGATCGATAGTGATGTAATGTTGCTGTTGCTTAACGCAGTATCAGCAGCAATCAACTACAAAGGATGATATAGGCATAACAGCATTACTATTGTTTGAATTGTTTTTTGTGTGAGCAGTTTGATGTTATGTACGTATATGCTTCAGAAGATTGATTATGGGGTCGTATTTCGTTTAAAATCGTAAACTAATTACTTTTGGGAAGAAGCCAACTGCCCAAACTAACACAGAAGAAGTTTGTATGCGCAAGAAAACAGTTTAAACGAATCAATACGGAATAGGCATGGTTATGTAAACGTGTATTTCATAGTTAGATTCATTGCTCTTCGGAGCGTCGAATCAATCTCCAGGACGGTGCTGGTACAAGAAACTTGAAAACTTGGACATTGAGACATGCGATCGTTCTTTCAGATACGTGCCGTTACAAAACAAATGAGCTTGGCAATAACAAATGGATGATTTATTCGTCGGATAATAATAATATTAATAATAATAATAATACTAATAATAATAGGATCACTCAAACCCTCTTTGCTGCATTTTTAATTTTAATCTGTAAATAATAATAATATTATAATAATATTATAATAATAATATTAATAATAATAACACATTTGTAATGTCAGTACTGCTCAAAAGTGCTTTAAGTCTTAGTAATGTCATTACAGAAAACTCGATCATGGGCCTGCTCAAAAGATGTGTTTTCTGTTTATTTTTATTGGTTGCGAGTTCCTGAAGTGAGCGAATGTGCAAAGGTAGAATATTCCACAGATATAGGAACAATAGAAATATGCACAGGGTGATATCGTCACTAGTTAGGACGGACAAATACATTATGCTCCCGTTAACTTACCGTATTTTGTTATTCAGAAGGTAAGAGCGTATGAAGAACTCACCCTACCTCCAACTCCACTCCCAACTTCACCCACGCCCCTACACTCCCCTCCACTCCTTTGTTCGAGTCAACAGGGCAACACCGCGGATTTATTCCTTCTCTAAATCACCAAATTAACTCTGAGAGCTTCACAAGAGCAGAGAATAATCACAGCAATAACATGCAACAATAGCTTAGAGATCAATTGGTAAAGATAACAAATTGTTTTACCAAACTACTCGCTGCTGATGTCGTTCGACAGGAGTGTTTGACTTTCGGCTGTGATTTATCGCAAGGATTATTCTTCATTCACCAATGGACCAAATAGTAAATAGTCCAGCTTAATAATGAATTGTCGGCTTAGGGGTCGTAATGAATTGTTTATGTTGCATAGCAACTGAAATAATGACGCTGAAGTGATTTCCTATCTCTCGCAATAAACCAGGACGGCAAATGCTCAGCTTTGAAGGACGTCGAGACCGCGCAGTTTGGCTGTCGGAGCGACTGGAGATTAATTACATTCAATAAGAATAGTGTTTTCGAAATGTACCTTTTCCCCTTTGTATATTTTGCTAATTATGAATGTTGATTACGTTAATGTGAATATTTAGTTTACAGACTCGCTCTCGCCATATGCTGTCGATAGTGGCCTAATAGTGCTTTCATTTCATTGCATTTTAGAAAAATAGTATTCTGTAAAAAACAGATGGGATATTTGTTAAGTAAACATTAGGGATCGATCATTTAACATTCAGGGAGGAGCCTGTTTTTTTATTGGGACGAATTAGATTTTTAGCGAACCTCGCCTATCATCCTTATAAGTCCCATGATCGCCTGTACGCTAGGTTTTGGAGGGATTGATTGAGTATGGTTTTACGCCGCTTTTATGCCAGCCCATGGGGAGAATAGAACCCGGGTCTTCGGCATGACGACCGAACGCTTGAACCACCAGCCTACCCCACCTCTTCTTGTTTAAAGAAGGTCAACATGTATGTGGTTTTCGGCCACACTTGGTGACATGGCTCAGTAGTGACTTGCCGGCAGACTGAGCGAAACCTTTGCCCGTCAGCTGCTAATCTGTCTTCCCAAAACCCTAAAATACGTTGTAAACCAGCCTGATATGGCGTTAATATTGCTGAATGTAGCATAAAACCCCATTCACTCACTCATCCTATCGCTAATCAACCCTCTCAGATGATGTATGTGTTTCACCGAATGTTTTATTCTTGGGCTCCGCGCAGTCAACCATCATTGCCCCACCACCGAGTAATGGATGCTGATAAACTTCGGGTCTCTGTTTCCTTGTTTCGTGACCAGGGCCTCACGCACAGTTTGCTTGCCCAGGCCACCATTGAATAGAGTGGCAATTAATCGAAACTTGGCAATTTCCGGACAACGTCAAGTTGAGCTATGGTCAGCATCTATAGTATCATATTCCATAGTCTATAATGGTAGGCGAGTGATCATGACTGGGTACATGAATGGCGAGTTATGAGGCCTACAGCGATAAAAGCAGGTACTCACAGCGATCAAGTAGACGAGAGAGATCCCGGTGCCTGATGTTTTAATGCTTCAGTGGCCATTTTGGCTTTTCTTGTCGATTCCTAGCTTGAAACAATTTATGCGAGTCTTACACAGTTACAGAAACAAATGGTTTTTTTCGACAATTCTCATTTTATTTCTTTAAACATCAAAAGCTAGTTTTTGAAAGCTGTTTATTCACTGGGTTTCTTGTTTCTTGTATTTTGCGTCAAATGACTAGACACGGGTGTATCCAATCTTCTGAGACGCCGCAATTGGTCGTACGGAGTTGCATCCCTTAGGCCTGTCAGGAACCTATCATAATGAATTCGAATCCGATTCTCCCTCATTATATTCTTGGGGAGTCAGCACCATACCCGTGGGTTTCACCAACGTGGTTAACGTCTAAGACCTGTATCACTTCTAGCTTTCCTTTCACATCAAGCCGACTCGTCATGGTATAACTGGCATTCTGTTCAAAGCGACGGCGTTAAACCCATCTCACTCATTCACTAACTCAATCACTCACCTGTCTCAGATGACGCAAGGTTCCGTAACATGAATGTTCCGACAATAACAAACTACCAAGAGTAGGGGTATAACCTTTGATCGAATTTTCGTTGCGTCCATGGCCCCATTCAAATACATTGCAACAGTATCACATGAATATATGCTGGTGCCGAGCTACTTTAGCGATAGTATCGATAACGTAATAATATATAAAATTAATGTTAAAAAAGTAAGTCTTTGTTCTGATCCACAATATTCCTTACTTGAAGAGACAGGAAGAATAGTTTTATACGTTTGTACTTAACAGATACTAATCTGGCATCTTTCTCCTAATCAATTGGTCTTCACCAACCCATGGCTAATGGGTTCAGGGGATCAGGCTCGCTGACTTGGTCGATGCATGTCATTGTATCCCAACTGCCCCGATTATGTTTCTAGGTTTGTCAGCACCACACCCGTGCTCGTGGCTTTCACCAAAGTGAAGAACTATGTCTAAGTCTAAGAACTGCTTCACTTCGGGCTTTCCTCCCACGTCAAGCTGACACGCTGTGATATAACTGGAATACAGTTCAAACGGGCGTAAAACCCAACTCACACACTCTTGGAAGGTACTGCTTGCTATGTGACATCCTTCACACAACATGCTGATATGGTATCGCCTGTAGTGTCATCATCTATTCGGCGTCCCTGCCTCGTTCCTCTTATAATATCTGCTTTTAACTTAACTTTTTCTTGCATTGGATCGATCTCCTTAGGACATTGAAATCTGCCGACACTGCGACTGACGAACATGGCTGGTTTCCTGAGGGCCATCTGTGTGCTGGATGGAACTTGGATTGGTATCTTAAGAACATCGTCCTAAGATGGATTTGTGGAACGGACGTAAATTCCAGCCAAATCAAGTTATCAAATTTGTCTAAAGGTCCCTCCTTTTGACTTGTAGTTGCGATGGCTCTGTGGAAGATTCCCTGATACCTGACGCCACCGCTGTCTATGGGTTTAATCAGATGTTGTGGTATATTAAAATTGTGTCTCCATTTAAAGAATCTATGTGACTGACATAAACATGTTGTGCTCTGCAGGTTTCGAGATGGAACTGGTCCCGTCCTACAGTCCGATGTTCGCCTTAGTCAACACCAAGTTCACTCTCACATGCAAGGTGAAGGACCTACCGGAGAAGGCAACGATTGACATGGAATCTAACTTCGGAGATCCTAAGCTTCAAAATTTTTACGTCGAGGAAAAGACTGACGTTGTGGGGAAGACGCAGGTGACGTCGAAGACAATCACGAAGGACTCCGTGGAAGTCAGCGATAGTGGGAGCTACTGGTGCCAAGCCAACTCCAAGGAAAAGTCGGTGAATCTGGTAGTCATTAGAGGTGAGATATTACCGGTACACTACTTGACGCTGGCAGCTGGGAGTTATCGGATGATAGATTTTGTATGGACATGTATGTTGTGACTAAACCGTGACTGTTTTTAAGGCAATGTTCAAGCATCCAAGGAGTTCCCTATAATAAATGACCAAACCCTAAAGAATATTCAAATATATAATTGAGTAATATAGAACTGTCCTTTTTTTCATGACCCCCACCCCCACGGAGTTGTGTTACATTTGGGCGCGCTCCATTTCGCTGTGTCATTATTTTACGACACTACTCCTTAATCTCCCCACCTCAACCTCCCCTATGAAAATGACCAGTCCCTACAATGTCTTTCCCACACACCGACCCGGATCGATAAAGCAGGTGTTTGTTAGCAAGAGATCAATGTAGGATCAACATATCAAGTATGTCATGACAATACTCAGTTAACTGTTGTACAGACAGCTTAATGAATACGAAACAGAAGCCCTTTACTCCCAAGATCTGCTGATTTCCCAGAATCGTAGAAGCCCTTTACTCCCCCAGATCTGCTGATTTCCCAGAATCGTAGAAGCCCTTTACTCCCCCAGGTCTGCTGATTTCCCAGAATCGTAGAAGCCCTTTACTCCCCCAGGTCTGCTGATTTCCCAGAATCGTAGAAGCCCTTTACTCCCCCAGATCTGTCGATTTCCCAGAATCGTAGAAGCCCTTTACCCCCAGATCTGCTGATTTCCCAGAATCGTAGAAGCCCTTTACTCCCCCAGATCTGCTGATTTCCCAGAATCGTAGAAGCCCTTTACTCCCCCAGATCTGTCGATTTCCCATAACCGTCAAGGTACAGATTGTAGAGATGGTTCAGAACTTTATTAGAGCCCGAAAGGTGTCTATCAGTAATCTAAGACAAGATACATCGCAACATGATTATTAGACATAGAGCCGGATTATTAAACCTGAAGGCAAATGAAGGTAGATGGTTAGGAATCACAACACACATGTTGGTTGGTTGGTTTGTTGTTTAACGCCACACTCAGCAATATTCCAGCTATATGACGGCGGTCTGTAAATAATCGAGTCTGTGCCAGACAATCCAGTAATTAATATCATAAGCATCGATCCACGCAATTGAGATCAATGACATGCGTCAACCAAGTCAGCGAGCCTGACCACCCGATCCCGTTAGTCGCCTTTTACGACAAGCATAGTCACCTTTTACGGCAAGCATTGGTTGCTGAAGACCTATTCTACCCCGGATCTTCACGGGTCACAACACACATGTCCTACATGTAAACTTGGAATACCTGATGATTATGATTTGATCTTAACTCTTATGGTGACCTTAGAAATTATTTACTTACCGAAAATGTATTGTCCATATTCATCCTTGAATAGGTTCCAAATGCTATCATCTGGAAATTGGGAAATATTGCTAAAAACACTATGTAAATTCGTGTCGCAAAGCTACGATAAGAGACAGAAAATTATAAACACAGTTTACCACGATGTGTTAAATTTTGGTGTACATATCTATGTAACCATCATGTATGTGGGCCATTGGCCTTCATTCTTAACTTCACTGAAACTCTACTGGAACATGACGTCATATATTTCACCAGACATATCAAAGTAGGTTGAATCACAATATTCATTTATAAATCGATCACACCATCACACCAACACACCATCATCCCATTATTCCATCACACCATCACACCATCACACCATCATCCCATCACACCATCATACATCATCCAATCATACCATCACACCAACACACCATCATACCATTATCCCATCATACCATCACACCAACATACCATTATACCATCATACCATCACACCATCATATCATCACACCATCACACCAACACACCATTATACCATCACATCATCACACCAACACACCATCATACCATTATCCCATCATCCCATCACACCATCACACCATTATCCCATCATCCCATCATATCATCACACCATCATACATCACACCATCATCCCATCATACCATCACACCATCATCCCATCATACCATCAGCCCATCATACCATCACACCATCATCCCATCATACCATCATCCCATCATACCATCACACCATCATACCATCATCACATCACATCATCTTACCATCATCCATCATCCCATCACACAATCATCCCATCACACCATCATACATCATCCCATCACACCATCACACCATCATCCCATCATACATCATACCATCATCCCATCACACCATCATACATCATACCATCACACCATCATCCCATCACACCATCATACATCATCCCATCATACCATCATCCCATCACATCATCTTACCATCATCCATCATCCCATCACACAATCATCCCATCACACCATCATACATCATCCCATCATACCATCACACCATCATCCCATCATCCCATCATACCATCACACCATCCACAATCATCCCATCATACATCATCCCATCACACTATCACACCATCACAACATCATCCATCATCCCATTATTCCATCATACCATCATCCCATCACACAATCATCCATCATCCCATCACACCATCATCCCATCACACCATCATCCCATCATACATCATCCCATCACACCATTATTCCATCACACCATCACACCATCATACCATCATACACTTTTTTCAACCTGCAACATCATCAGCAATACACTATCTGTAATAACATTTTCTTCCGACGGATTCTGTTTCAAACAACATGAAAAATGATTGCTAACAAAATTTGGTTTTCTTCCAAAACCAACACTACGGTCATTAATACCTGATTTGTCGCGCTAAACATTAGATTATCGTTACATCCTAAACAAACTGCACAGCCCTGAAATATCGGGCCAACTCGGCGCGGCATTGGATAAGAGCAGCTCTCAGGATCGATTTGAGTGTGGACCAGTGCATGGGAATTCTAGCGACCGGTGTTACAGTTCTACTGTGTCGTCAGTGAGCAATATCTGCCAGACATTATAAACTCAGACACACCCAACGCCAAAAATCGATCCAGTTTCCAGATATATTGGCTATTTGACAATATTGAATTGACATTTAGATGAAGTAACATGGAACTTCCAGGATATCACATCTTTTGCATGCGAGAACGTACTGACGTTTTCACTTCATGAATGTTTCATGAGTTGGGTTCAAGTTGCTGTGCGAAAGAGAGATTACACGAGGAGAATGTTTTATTTCTACTTTTTTCTTTCAACAATTAGACGTGGATTTATTTCACCTTATCGAGTAGATAGGAGGTTGGTATTATCTAAAAAACTGTAGAACAATACATACTCGATTAGATACGTGTCTATAAACCACAAATGATGTTTGTCGACGAAATGGCTCGGGTGGGTTGTTGACTTGGTGCGGAGGGACTTGGTAGATGCCGCGTCGTACCAAATGACGTTAAAAGATGGTACCCTGTCTTGCGCTCGGCATTAAGGGGCTAAAACAAGGACTGGTCGGCTCGGACTCGGTATACTGTGTCTGAGTGGGGTATTCATGTTAAACTGCAGCATGGTATCTCAGTGTGCTAGCACTATAAATCGGCATCAGTCCAGACTAGTACAAGCAGCCACACCAACACACACACGTACATGCACGTCGCTATATAAGTGAAATAATCTTGGACGCGACGTTAAACCCCATTTCAACTCACCTATAACGAACTACGGTTGTAACAAACTAAAATTACTGGTCCCCTTGAGTTCGCTATAACCGTTGTTCACTCTTCTTGACTTCTCCTGAACACATCAGGGTACCGTTGTACAAACCGATCTTAGCGCTAAGGTGATCGAAACTCCCATACCTCAACCCAGACTTACGACAGTCGTAGCGCTAAGTTTGTTCTGTACAACGACACCCAGACTAATAGTTTAAACAACAGTTGTAGACCCGAAGACGAACTTTCTGCTAAGATCGCCAAACTCCGAAGTGTGATAATTGATTGTTTGCGTGTCCTCGGCCCCGACGGTGTGGAACGTGGAGCATAATATCGACCAATGGTTTATTTGGTCCAGGCTCGATCTTTTACAGACCGTCGTCATACAGTTGCGGCGTTAAACAGCAAGCATTAAGAAATTTGTAAAGAAACAAAAGCTTTAAATTATTTAAGAGTCCCCCTAATAATAAACGCCCCAAATCCGAGACGTTAACGTTAATGCTTCTTCGGTAGAAACTGCTGATCATTTACTGTTGAACACATTGCCATTTTCCAGTTGTGATAAGACAAAATCCATGTAAAACCATTGTTATACATATTCAAGACATCTTTGCCTTTTACGAAGAGAAAGAAAGTCGTAATGATACCGCTATGTTGACAATTCATCGTTTAAAATGTAATTGTTCATAGACTAGAACGCGCAAGTCCTGTCAATGGCGATGTGCAATGGAGTTTTGATAGGTGCGATGCAGACATTAATTGATCAGTCTCAGGGTCTCCAGTCCATCCAGGGCAATGCGTCTTCTTAATGGTTACATAATGGCTGTCTTAGGAACTGAGGGAGATCCGTATATCGGGACACTGACTGAACAGTCCCTAGCAGAAAGTCATTTGTTCATCTGAAGGGATGCATACATCTTATATCGGCGGTGGCTCCAGAATCCGGAATCGGGGATCACTGCATGACCCATAAATCTTCCCAGTCACAGTCGTGTCTTCATGGTAGACATAGCATTACAGAAGGCATACCGTCAAGTCTTGTTTATCACGCTGGCGGACACTCCAGGCTTAACATAAGGAGGGGGCTATCAAGTCTCGTATTGATAATTGTATGGAGGCTCGGCGGCGTCAGAATCAATAAGCTTCAAAATGCCTGCTATAACCACATGGAGTACTCTCATGGTGCATCTCCAATTACTTTCTGTAGCCGTGCTTGGGGTAATGACATCTAAATGATTAGACCGTTATCCACTTGTTTTATTACTTTTTATTGCATTGATATATTTCTGTTCGTGTATGACAGAAGGTATTACGATGCTTTGTTGCTAATAATGTGACGATATACAGTGAT